TTATTAATTAATTTAAAAATCCTAAATCTTTGATATTTTTTTAATATTTTTTTTTTTTAATGCACCACATTCATTACCACAATTATGAAATTTCAGTGTTAAAGGTTTTAAATCCTTTCTAATTCTTCATTAGAATATTTAATGAAAAATCATTAAAAACCTCACAAGTACAAATTATTGATCCTAATTTTTTTTAGTGTTTGATTTAATACTGTTAATATTTTATCACCATCAAGTCCACAAAATTTAGCTTCACACAAATAAGAATCATCAAAAGCATTACCAAGTAAACTTTTTAACTTTGTACAATTATTGAGCACTTCCATTAATTCCTAAATTTTTACAAGATTGTACAATTGATTGAAATAGCTTCCTCACAAATTTGCTATTTGTAAAGTCATAATAATTTTCATAGCTAACATCCAGATCTTTAAGAGTTTTTCCATTGATATTAATAAATCAGACAAGTCTAATAGATCTAGTTGATATGTAATATTTATCCTCACTGATTCAATATTTGGTGAAATACTTCTTAAATTATTTAGTCCATAATCAATAAATTTTAAATGTTGGAATTAATGAATTATCAAAATTATTTCCTCCATTACTAGATTCATGAAAAGTTATTGATTGTGAATGTGTTAATATTGCTTCTTTTAATTCATCTTGTAAAATTTGTTCATGTTCTGTATAAATTATAGAATAGTGATTTATAATCACAGAAAATTCAGATAAACTGCTAATTATATGTTAACATATAAATTGCAGATAATAATTTAATATTAATTAAAGCTCCTAACGGGTCGGGTTCGGGTGGGTTAAGTGTCAACCCGAGCTCAACCCGAAATTTCGAGTCGGGTTCGGGCTTGGCCCGAATGTTTTAAAGGCAAACCCGACCCGAAATTTTCGGGTTGATTTCGGGTTAATAAGAAAATTTTGTGATTTACATAAATTCAAATAATAATAATTAATTAATTATAAAAAGCGAAACAGTTATAGTGGTTTAAAAGCTGTAATTTGTGTCATGCATGACGCAAAACACAATTCATGATGCGAGAGATGTAGAACTCAATTAGTGACGCAAGATGTAGCTCAAGGCAATTCGTGATGCAAGACGTAATTCAAGACAATTCGTGACACAATAGACACAAGGCTGGTGGATGACGACCGGAACTAATCATAGTTTAGGCCTAATTTTGTGGTGAAGTTGGCGAAACCTAAACTGCAGGTGAAAACCGAACGGTCGATTAAACTCTGCAGTTTAATTTCCGACCACAAAAGTGTTTTATTGAACAAAAAAAAAGAATTGATTTGTTTTATTATTACAAAACGAATTGGGTCAAAAAATGACATTATTTTTATGATAATCATCATAAAACTTTGGTCATAGGTTTGACAATTTAACCACAGTTTATGAGTTTGCCCATAGTTTAAGTTTCGTCAGTAGTTTAAGAGCCTAAATTCCTAATTTCTATGGATAAACTATTTCAGATTTGTTAAAATAATTTCAGCCACCATCACTATACAAAACACAACCATGATGTGTGTATGAATTAATTCAAACTTTAACCACATATAAAACTCTTTATTTATTGCATGAAAACTTTTTAATTTATTAATTTTTAATGTTAACATCAATGCTTCATAGCTAAAAAGGTTTTGTTAGCTAATAAATTGTCATGAATCATATTTGCACCATGGATTGAGACTACATCACGAATTGCATCTTGTGTCAATTGTATAAAATTATGATGCAAATTTTTAGGATTTTTAATTGCAATTTAATGATTTTGATCTCAAGTATAATTGGTACAGTCCAAAAAGTTTTCGTGTCAAAATTTTTAAATCCGACCTAAAAACTTTCAGGTTAGCCCGACCCGTTTCGGAGCTTTACTCTCAATAAATAAAATTCAAATTTCACCTTCATTTCCGCTAGTGTTCTATTTGTAAATTTGTAATGCAAATTCTTATTCGAATTATTCATTTTATTTTGAATTATTCATTTTATTTTCGAATTAATTATTCTTTGTTTTATTTCAAATTATTTGTTTTTATTTTATTCAAATAGAGACCCTAGTTCTGGTCAAGTGCAAGGTTTTCTTTCCAGCTTCATATGTTCTAAAAAAAAATAGAAATATACTGCTTGAGGCGTCATTACAATCAATATAGTAAAATCAAAAGGGTTACTAACTAATAGTTAAAAGGTTAGCCAAACCATTAATTATCAGAAAGGATTATGAAATCAATAACACCGGCTCTATTAATTAATTACAGTTTTTATTAAAAAATTGAAGGAAATTTTCAAGTGTATTTATACTTCTTGAAGTATTACAAACAACATGACTTTTTACATGATTTTGTCCAATAAATATAATAAATAGAATGATTAATAGTGAATGACTAATATTAATTACTAATGTTAAATGCCAAAATGCATCATTGATGATGCTATGGTATAAAATAAATTGATTGACAACAATCAAATGTATAGTGAGATCTAGCAAGGGGATACATTGTAAATGTACATCCAAAAACTGCACCTCTATGCCAAGTGTGGCCCCAGAAAAATACACAATAAAAGCAGGATTAAGTCCGGATCGTATGTCTGGATTTGCTCTGTGAACCAACAAACTTCGTATATAATGCACATGCTTGGATGTATACACATCCAGACCCATCTCCAAGTTCTTTCTGCACTTTTCACAGGAATATTTCCGTACATTTTTTCTGTTTCCGTAAAAAATACGGTTAATGTACTGTTTTTTCCTTTCCGGTATCTAGGGATGAAGAGTTCGGTTGGTTTGGTTTCGTGGAACTGATTCGAACAGTTTGAACAGTTTTTTGAACAACATTACACGAACCTTTATTAAAATACCAAGAAAGATAATGAATTTCAATTTCAAATGATAGAATCCTCCCTTTTGGAAATACGTCCATACCAAAAACCAGTTTTCATCAACACAAAATCCATTTCAGCATGTATCCGATCATGAAAAAAATTTTTTATGTCACAATTTGAACATGTGTAACCGGTTTGAACGGTTCCAAAAAACCAAACCGAGTTCAAACCGTTAGTTAATGAAACCGCCCCATCCCTACCGGTATCTAATATTTTATACACTTTATCAGATTTTCAATTCTGCTAATTTTAAATTGCCCATAATTCGCATAATTTAGTATTCTGCTTGGTGTGCCCACCAAATATCTGATACATTGTAAAAGCTTTTTGTCATGGATTCAAATTCAATTGAAATATAACAAAAGCAATATCACAAGTATATAGTTTTCAAGCTGGTTTGTTTGTTGATTCTTTGGTTGATTGTCATTATTGTCACTTTTTGGGATAATGTGGAAGATGATGATATGGTTTCAGTTATCGGTAATTTTATTAATTTCGGCCTAACAAAAAAAATCTAAATCTAAATTATTAACTCATAAATGAAGAAAAAAAATTTTTTTGAACCCCTTTTTCTCTGACCAAAACATCTTTTCTGTTACATATCGGTTTAAAGTCCGCAGCTTGTATTGGGGATAAAGATTCAATTCCGCGATTCTTTAATTTTTTCTGGAATGTCATATCATCTACCACTACCACTATTACCATTAGTATTTATTTTATTATTATTAGTTGTTGACAAAGATGGGAGATCAGATTCAGGTTGTTGCTAGTGTTGAGGTATTTTTTTGTTAATAAAAATATAAAAACAATTAACTTTAAAAAAATTTTCATTTTTTCAATACCAATTTTTTCAGAGAAATTTTATCCAAAACCGATTCCTGGTAAAATGCAACTCTTCTCAATTCCCTCGTCAGTCCACGCCTATACTCTTGTTGATTTGTAATGATGGAAGTATCATTTTGGGTTTCCTCTTTTGAAGATGTTTTGGAAACTATATAGGTAACAGTGAAATAAATTATATATTATAGATATAATTTTCATAAATGAAGTTTCTTCAATAGTAGACATTTCTTTTTGTGTTCTTTAATTTTTGAACAAAGGGATGTAAAGTTAAAGTTAATAAGTTGAAGGCTCATCACCAATTCATAATTGGCTATTAAACAAAAAGTCAGATAACACCAAATTCTGATGACGATTATTTTCTTATCATCATTGAAGAGCTGTTGAAAAACATATACAACATTGTATGCTTATGAAATAATTTTTATCATTTATTAACTCTTTAACTTCATTGCAGCGTTTTTCTTTCCATCAACTTTTTATTTCTAAAGGAGAAAATAGATGAAATTTATAGAAAGATTTTCGAATCATTTTGGTAAGAAAAAAAAACAATAATCAAGAGGAAGGAGGTAGCAGCCACCATCGTATTTCGGAAGAAATATAAAATCTCTCTTTGTGTCAACCAACTTAAAATCGGGAATTAGCGGTGGTATCGGTAATTGTGTCAAACATATTGACGATCATTTTACCTGACCAATAAACCTACTAGTAATCAGCCTAACAATTCTCCAGAAAACAAACAGTCATTCGAGTACGTTTAGCAAATAAAGTAATCATTGCCAACGACGACGACGACGACGACGATGATGATGTAAATAAAATTTTTATGCTTATATACCTTTTTTAATGTTAAAAATATTCCATTTAGCCTCGTAAAAATTGATTAATAAAAAGAAATATATATATATATACGACTTTTTTTAGAAGCATATAGGGCGAACGTTAAAGATATGTACGTATATATAAGAGAAATTTTATTTATAAAATTTGTGTAACGACTAAAATATTAATTAATATAATGTTGATATGGGTGTGGATTTGACCTATTAATATGTACAATAACTCATGTAAAGATATATCTGATATACAACTACGAATTTAAAATGGGAATCTAAAAATGTTCTAGAAATATTCTTGATAATAACTTCCAAATAACTTTTATTTTAAAGTCTTTAAACGCCAGTTTTAACAAAGATTTCCCAATCAATTATCACACGTGATGTAATGCCAGAAAAAAAAAATTGTATTAATTTATAAATTTTTATTTTTGTAATTCTTTTGCAACGAATAATTTACTAAGAGTTGGACCAGCATGTTGATTTAATTGTTTGCAATAATTATTAATTTGTGATGATATTAATAAAGAGTCAAGCCTTGATGGTTCTGGTGGTATTTTATACATTTTCAAAATATCATCTTCTGGTAAAGGATCCAATCCTGATTCCTTACGTGCTTCATTATCTTGTTTCTGGTAATAATAATAATAATAATAATAATAATAAAATTAATACATGAATACATACATACATACATACATACATATTTTACCAGCTAAAACTTACTCGTTTTTGTAAAGCAGATTGTGCTTTTGTAACACTTTTTTGCCAAAAAGCAAGATTATTTTGTTCATAATTATTATCTTCAATTGATTTCAACAAGAATTCCAAATTTTTTTCCATGTAAGGATCAAGACTTAATTCCAGTGTTTCAAAATTAGGTGTTAAAGGACCAATAACAGATTCTTTGTCTATACTGATGGGATAAGTTTTTGGTATAACATTTTCAAAATCATCCAAAGAATGTAAAAGTGCAGTGACCAAATGTGAATTCTTGATTATGATTGGCAATTCTTCAAAAATCTTTGAAAATGTTAATTTATTTTTTACAAGTGATTCTGATGTAAATTTTCCTTCTTTGTGAGCCTCCATAAATGCTTGTGTAAACCTATAAGCCGAAAGTGCCAAATTTCCGCTTTTTGACTGTGAAACATCTAAAATATATGCACATGTATTTAATTAATGTATAACATTAACCAGCATATAATATTTATTAATTCGAAAATAATGTAAATGATATAAATACCATGTATAATAACAACACTTTTATTATTAAGTGACTGCTGAGTGAATTGTGTCTCCACCAATTTATGAGTTACAAAAGATCCAAGATATGTTGATTGATACCATCCAACAGTATTGTGATCTATATTTACATCATGAAGACATCTCATCATTTCGACTTGATATTTGGCAGCTTTATATTTAAAAGAGTATATTTTTAATGCATTTATTTCAACATTAAATGTTTCTTCTCCACTCAAAAAGAGTATATATACAGACCATCGACTAGTTCATGCTCATCGTCAGTTTTTGCTCCAGGAAATGGAAAACTATTTGTTACTTCCAGTACACGATCAACATCAAGACCAAGAAGTTGTCCGGTTACAGGATTTGGAAAAAATTCATGACAATGTTTAATGATCTTGAGAACGACTAGTCCATCAAGTTGAACAGACTCTAATGGGACGTTGCCCTCAATATCTAGAGCAGCTGTTACTTTGGCTTTTGCAAGTGTGCCTTTTGCAGCAACAGATTTAACTTCCGACGACATATTATAAATTTTACTTGACCAATTATGTACACAGATAAAATTTTTTTTTAGATCAACCCTAAACAGTTTGTGCAACCTCTATTATGCCACAAATTGGTTACAACTAAAATTATGTTGCACTCTCCCACAAGTAATAGTAATTAAATTTAATTAAATTTAATTTGAGAAGACTTATTTATAAATAGTGAGTGTTACAATTATATTAATGGGTTATTTTATTCATTTATTATGTAAACAATATTAGTAAAAAAGATCGTCCTCTTTGTTTTTAAAAAAGTATATAAATATAAATTTAATTTAATAAAAATAAAAAATAAAGAAATGATAAAAATGAAATTCCCAATAATTAATTTCATTTTTTCGTTACTTTTTATAAGTTTTTCTTCAGGTATTATTTTTGGGAACCTTTCTCCTCACACATACACATTCACATATGTTTATACTTGACGCTAATATAAATATATATATATATTTTGTAGCTGAACTAAAGATAGTTTATCCATCACCAAATTATTATCTTGTAGCTGGAGCAGATAACAAAGTACAATGGACATTTGATCCAACTACTGATCCAAAAGCATTTTCTATGTATTTAAATAACCCCGTAAGTTTTAAAAAAGTTTATTTTATCAATCAATCAATCGATCAATCAATCAATCAAATCAATTATATTGATCAATTATATCGATCAATGAATTTCTTTTAAAAAAAAATAATAGAAAATTCCAGACTTGTCAGATTTTGCCATTGCCAACACAGTTAATACAACACTTGGTGTAACTACTGTTCAAATTCCGCCTAGTCTAGTTAATACTGGTAATTATTTTTGAAAGACGGAGGAGGAAGGCAGGCATGTGGGATATTGATTTATTTACTGATTAATTCAATGAAACTTTTGTTTTCTCTTTTTCTTTCGACTTAGGGTTTGTGATTAGATTTACAAATGTTGCAAATATTGCAGATATATATACAACTTCTGAACAATTTGAAATCAAAGCACCTGGAACAACTCGTAAGCAAAATTTTTTGAATAGTGTCGTTTTATTTTATGATTATTTTTTTTTTTAATAATAAATCACGAATTCTTTTTCTTAGCTACTACATACGTACCACCTGTACCTACAACATCCGCAGTCGCCACTACTAACTCTGATACCGCCGCTACTACATCACCATCATCACCGTCAACGAATGCACCTAAATCAAATTCAGAATCTTTATTCGACAATTCAAATTTTGGACTTTTGATCATTACTATTGCCAGTATTATCGGTTGTTTCAATGTGTTTTTATAAATGATTATTTTATAATAACTTATTACTTATTTCATTAATATTAATTAATTTATTATCAACCATAAAATATACAGTTATTATTATTAATTTGTAATCTTGTTTATTGTTTTTAATGCCAATCAACTACTATTAATAAGGACTATATTAAGATATTTATTTACTAATAATAAAATTCAATGTACAAGCGATGTTGACTTTTATTTTTTGAAAAAAAAAAAAACGGTTAAACAGAAATTTTCAAAAGAACATTTAATGTCAAAATTGGTTTAGCTGGAGGTTTAGGTTTTAATTCCGGTATAGAAAATTTATTATTATCCTCCTTGAATAATGGAGAGTAATTGATGATTGCGGTGCAGCAATTTGGTTTTTTTCATTCAAAATATGTAGAATTGATTACAAAATTCAAAAGTGTTGACACTTTTAGTCAATAATATAACTTCAACCTCTTCTTCCAATTCTTCCACTGTTCTTCTAATCTGTCTTCCGGTAATACGTGCGATGGATTGGTTAAAGGAGATAATTTAATTACATTATCACTGATATTTATTAATTAGGATAAGGAAATCAAATAGATTTCATCAGTGTTAGTGACAGCTTTATTATTTGGAACTCCAAAGAACAAATTTTATTAAAGTTTACCATCTGACAATGCAAATCCATTATTATAAATACTAATGGTGGCGACATCAGAACTAAAGTTTTTGATGAAATTTAAAAGTTCAATGGCCTGACGAATTTGATGAAAGAATTTTAAAAAATCAATTGTTCTTGAATGGATTTTGTTACTATCACGTGGCTACTAAAGATAGGGTTTTATATAGGTTTGAACCGGCCTTCTTGCTCTTTGGTTCCAACTTTTGGGACTGGGTAACATTATTAATTTAAAGATGTGTTGTGAAATTCAAAGAAACTTTCCAAAAAAACAAAAAATTCTACGGTTATTTTCCGAATCTATTAAAATGTGATACGGTGCCATTTTAATAAAGGTTTACACACATGATGAATTTCGAACTATATTTGTTTTTCAAAAAATTCCTTTAAAGATTATTTAATCAATTACCGAATGCAAAACCATTACTATTACTATTATTATTATTATTATTATTATTATATATATAATAATAATAAAAGTGCTTTCGAATTTATTTGGTGTAATATTTACCAGCCTGTGATGTATTGCAATGTTTTGGATCGACTCGTTCGTTTATCAAAATAAAAATAAAAAAAAAAATAGTTTTTATTTTTAATATATTAAAAAAAAATTCTAATTATAAATATACAAATTAATTAATAAAATGTCATCAGTAAGAAAAATTTGTTGTCTTGGTGCCGGTTATGTTGGTATATATCTTTTATATGTTAATTTATTAATGAGATGCGAATTACATAATATTCTGATGGAAGATTTGTAAAAGAGCATGGAATGAGAGAAAAAATTTTTCATTTAAAATCTCAAAAAAAAAAAAAAAAAGTCAAAACTACCATTCAACATTATAGAAAAATTTTTTAATTTTGATCTAATAAATATGCA